TTGAACCGTGGCCAACTACGTGGGAGTCCAGTGACATAGCCATTACGCTAACTGCTGGTCCTTCAATGAATAATTCTTAAAGAAAATAAAAACAGATAATATATTCCCACTGTATAAAATTAAAAAAGGATAGAAGGGTATTCAATAAAAAGTCTCCTTTTCTGTTCTCCAACCATACCATTCCCTTCTTCAGAGACAACCATTGTTGTTTCAGTATGTCTTTCCCTGGAGGTAGAGTTTTTTGCCTGTTTAGCTGTTCTACTGAAGGGATTTAAGATGTAACTATAGCATATTGGTGAAGAAAATACAATTGAAATTGTATGATAATTGACCATAAACAAATTTAACTAATTTTGGAATGAAAATGGCATAATTTAGGTATACAAGCGAGTGTTGTCTCATTTGGAGTAGTTATTTGATGTTGTCTTTTTAATTAGCAACTTTTTAGGTGTGGCAAAACATTTTTTGCAACTTCTCTTAAGATTTGCTTTTGAGCTTGGGTTACTTTTCTCTATCATTATCTTTTTTTTTTATTTTTAAGAGATTTTTGCTTTAGGGCATGTGTGCTTGCTGGAGAGACAGAGAGAAAGTGAAAAATCACCCCTCAGACGCCTCAGGGGATGGCACATTGTAGTCCATTTTCCTCTAGGGATTTTGGGCATGCATGCACATGCGCCTGGTGTGAGTTTCAAGCTTACTGCTCTTGGGACTTGAACCGCGGTCAGCCACGTGGGAATCCAGTGCCTTAACCAGTACACCACCTGCTGGCCCTATTATTCTTTGAGAGCAGCTTTAGTTTTAAGTAATAACCAAATCAATATGAATCCCAATAATTTAGGGAATTTGGAGTCAGGTCTGTTGGAAAGGTTTCAGCAATCAGGTTGGAAATATTATTGCAGGTCACATAAGAGTTACAGCTATAATGTGTGTTTCCTGTAGAACTGAATACGCTACTGTCACTTCCACTTCCATGGGGACAAACCCAGCACCAGGCAGGGACTCACTCCAGGGCTCAAGGCTGCACCTGCGATCTCTCTAAATTTTATTTTAAGGAATGAAACATATTAGAAACATGTGTGGTTTCCTAATGTTATTGCTCTCAAATGTAGTATACTTTGATGTATAATTTAAACAATTCTTTTAAATGTTAAGCCTATTTTAACAAGTTCTAAGTATGTATGAAGGGGTCTTCAAAGAGGTCGTGGAAAATCCATACCATGAAAAACTATGCATGTATTTCTAAAACATTTTTTGGCCTCAAAGTAAACTTGAATCTGAACTCCGTTTTTCCATAAACTATTTGAAGTCCCTCGTAATGAAAAAGCAAGTAGTGGTGGTATAATAACCAACTATGAATCAAAGATCAAGGAATTAGACTAGAAATTTGAGAATTGAATGTGGCTCTCTTCTTTAAAGTGTAAAGGGAACTAAGTCTTGCAGTTTTAAGGAACTTTGTGCACTGTCTGTGAGGGGAAATGAAGCAAAATTGTTCAGAATGCATTGTTGCAAAGCATTGATTTTGTGGTTTTTGGACAGAAGGGGAGAGAATCTTTGTGGTGAATTTAAGGAAATGTAAACAGGAACTCAAGTGCCTTTCCTCTGGGGTAGTTTTTCCAGTCCCTGCTGTTGAGGAGGTGGGCACTGGTAACTACACATGAAACAGGAGGTGAGAGCTGAGAACTACTCTCAGATTATGATCAGCCATTTATCACCAGTATCTCTTTTTGTTTTTGAGAGAGAGATTTTTGCTGTAGGGTGCGTGCGCTCGCCAGAAAGACAGAGAGAGACAGAGACAGAAAGCGAGAAATCACCCCCGGGGGGATGGCCACGCCGCAACCCCTTCTCCACTCTCCTCTCGGGATCGTGAGCATGCATGCTCACGTGCCTGGTGTGAGTTTAAGCTACCGGATCTGGGACTTGAACCACTGTCTACTACATGGAAGTTCATGACATAGCCATTACACCAACTGCTGGTCCCAACAATATGTTTTTTAATAGCCAGAGAGCACATGCGCTGGCTAGAAACAGAAGGAAGGGGGGAAGGCATCTCCCTGCTCCCCACAAGGAAGCGTGGTCCTGCGACAGTCCTTCTCCAGTTCTCCACCCTGCTGGGATTGGGGCACGCATGTACAAGCACTGGTTGTTTTTCAGGCTGCTAGGGCAGCGTTCGACCTGCGGTCGGCCCTGTGGGATCCAACTCCCTCCCAGTGGCTGGCTTGTTCGACAATATTTAACGAACCCTACTACATGTGGGCTAGACAGTGGGCTAGTTCTTGAGATAGGGGGCAGAACAAGACAGAACAAGACATTCCATTTCCTCTTAGGGTCTGCAGCCTCGAGGATTAGTGACCACGTTTTATGGATTATGCACTATATTCTAGGTATCGTGATGTGCACTTTGTGTTTATTACATATATATGTATGTATTTTTTAGAGGTTTTTGCCGTAGGCCATGGACAGACAGAGACAGTGAGAGGTAAAGTGAGAAATCACCTTCTCCCCCAGGGCGGGTGGTGGTGGTGGTGGTCATGCTGCAATC